TGCTCGAAAATCGTGTTCGCCATTTGCCCGTAGAAATGGTTGCGCGCACACACGTGCGCGCACACGGCTTCATAAGCGAGTCACCGTGAAATACAAATGCACATACGCGAGTCAAAGCTATCTCGTCGACGATTCAAGATTTAATATCGCGATCGCTGATTAAATAATTTAAAAAAATTGCGAAAAAGATCTCTGAACATTTAATAATATATAATTTTACTGTAATATTGTATATTGTAAAATTTTTCCCTCTGTAAAATAAAGAGTGCGTTCTGTTGTTTTATTTATTTTATGTGTCTTGCTTCGAATCTAGTTTTGGAAAACTCATATGCATGTTATTCAAAGATTTGAGAATAACGTAAAATTTCAATCAAGAGAATAAGGCAACGAGAAGCCATTAAACGGTGTGTCGTAACCGGTTTATTAAGTGCAATGTACATAGCTGGTTGCGAAACCGGCTGGCATCGACTGGCAACTTAATTGCTGGTTACCAGCCGCCGCTCGCGAAAACCGTCGGTTTCGAGGCGGTTTCTAGGGAAATTCGCGGGGAAGCAGGTACAATGAGATCCCGCGCGCCTTTAATGCTCCTCCCCCAAGGTATGCACTCTATATAGGGATCATTACTTCCGGTTGGAAGAGCCACTAGAGGTATTTTATTTCCCAATAAAAGTCAGGCAGAGAGATGCTCGTTGAGAATCGAACCGCGGAATTTACGCAAAACGATTGCAGCTCAAACCCTTTTATGTATCTGATTGTAAGTCTCTCATATAAGGGCGCATTCCAATCTACATACTTCATGTAACGTGGTTTGAAGTTGTTTCGTAGTTATATATCGCTATATACTGTAAGAGCCCAAAATATACCACATGCTAGCATTTTTAATTCTTCGTGCATGTTTGAGTATATATAATTAATCAAGTTTTAACTGTCGAAAAAAGAAAAGATTTAAATAAAACGTCAAATCCGTATATTTTGATTCAATTTATTCTCTCTCTTTCTCTTTGTCAGAAAGATAATTGAGAGAGTTGAAATATACGATTAATTTATGAAGCTTTCATATCGTTAAAAAAATTATTCCTTTCAGTTACATCTATTAATAACAGATTTCTCTTACGTACAGTTTCCGGAAGACATTCCCGCGTCCCTATCTTTGCTTTTGCGCGACCGCGACCGGAGAATGGATCGTGTTTGAGAGCGTTAAGTTAATATTTACATTTACCTAGGATAGAGAGAAGCAGTACACGACGGATATTACACGCTCGATCAGCGTAATACTGATACAGAGCGAACTCGATAACACTATTCCGCCAACGGCGAAATAAACTAATTAGTCCTCTGACAGTACCGTTTTCGGGTATTTCGATATCCCGACCGCAAATTTCCCGACAGCCTCCGCAATACTACTGGTAAGGATGACAATGTATAAAATGACAAAAAAAGAAGATAGAGAGAGTAAATGAGATCACGAACTCTACCCTCGATTATTCACCTAAAAAAAAAAAAGTATGTCTGGTTTTTCTTTTTTTTATTTTTCACCGAGGGATACATCACCGGAACGACGGTTTGTCGAATTTCTCCTCCGGGGGTGGCGAAGAAATTTAGATATTTAACTTCGTTCGCCGTACGGCATGAGTTTCCCATCCAATGCGGGACTTAAATTATCCCGGGTCCCTCGGGAGCCCGGGGCGAAAAAGGATCGGATAGGTTAGCCGATGTGCCGCAAGCGTCCTCGGGGGTGGCACTAAATTAGATAATGAAGCAGACATTCCCTTTCCTCCCTCACCCCTTTCTCACTCCCTCCTCGGCCGCTATCTAGTACGGGCCTGCTCGGCTATGCGGACTGTTGCCGGCTGAAGTGTATCACTTCTGATAATCCGCCTTGCTTAACTCAATAAAAGCAGCGTCGCAAAGTGTCGGAAAGTCTGCAGAGCTTCTACAGATTAAGAGCTTACTGGGTTCCTTGTTACTTCCGCTAGTTAAAGTCATCATAGTCTATTAATGATTCGTATTAAATATATGGAGAACTTATTAATATTTTGTTGTCTTATATATATATATATATATATATTATATTTGGGAAAATGTAACATGTTACACAACGCGAGAACGTAATATCATAATATTTTGTCATTAATTAGCGGGGAGGACAGGCGCTGAATTATCCGGCGCACAAAGAAATATATCGGACGAAGTTTACGTCGCCAAGTGAAAGGTTTATTACGATGTAAATTATATTATTAAGCAAATTACCAGAGAGACGCAAACGTCGGAACCGCGCGAGCGAAACGAAGCGCGAGAGAGCGCGCGTCAACTTCTAACAACATTACAGCTACGAAATTCGTAATTAGGGGCGGACAAAAGCAGAAAATTGAACGCGCCCGGCGTGCATCGTTGACGCAAAGGCGGAAATCCTCTTACCGAACTACACATCGGCGGAAAGATGGTGGTTTCTCTCGCTCTCGCAATTTCTCTCGCGTCGCATAAGTTTCGCGACGAGCGTGGCTCCGATCCGGTCGCCACCGACGAGAAAGAGAAAGAGAAAGAGAAAGAGAGAGAGAGAGCCGCGAGCGATCGCTATTCGGAATTCTCCTTGTCGGAATTGTCCCTACCTGGAAATTATGCTCTTGCATCGCACTCGCTCTTTCCCATCTTTTCGCTTATCTAATAATACCTTCGGAAAACTCGCGGAAATATCGTTTCGTTAATTATCGCTGCTACCGAGTTCGTTCGCTCTGATAGCAAACGGAAAGAGATTTAGAATGACGTTATTAAGTAGCTCGGGGCATAAAATGGGCGGGGATGACGCGCTTCGATGAGGAGGGGG